TCCCCCCGATTATCATCTGTTTCGCTCATTACAGAACTCCCTTGACAATATGAACTTCGCTTCTTTAGAAAATGTGAAAAATCACTTGAAACGTTTATTCGCTGGAAAAGTACAAAAGTTCTATAAAAGAGAAATTATGAAGTTATGTGAAAAATGGCAAAAGATTGTCAAACTGAATGTTATTGATTATATTATTAATTAAAATTGTTTTTAACAAGAATAAGATGCATTTTAATTTTGTAGATGAGCCCGATAGTTTCTTTTCTGTATAAATTCTTTTCAATTTTATTATGATTTTCTAGCAATGTAGAGAATAATAAACTCGGTGTCAGTCTAGCACAGACAAGGTCTATCTTGCTAAGGAATATAGTAAATCTCGCTGGGACCATAATAAAATTTTTAATAGCTCATTTTAGTTTCTAGGTTATAAATAGCAAGCATATGAAATAAAAGGATAATAAATTACTGTAGAATGTGGATCTATTCCTTTGGCTACAAGATTCTGCAGCGATTTTTATTATAAAGTTCTCTCCGTGTATATTATTAATATATTTGATGTTTGTGTAGAAATTATCATTTTGTTGGAATCTCGAGGATAAGCTGTTCAGCCGTCATGCCTGTCGGAATTTTGTTGGAATTTTGTGGATAAGTTGTTCAGCACATCATATGTGCAAATTTTCGCGTACTGTTTTCCACGAGAATGTATTATCGTATAACATTACGCGAGAGACAACATTTCGTCGGACAGAAATAGGCTTCCACGCGAAAACCTTTTATTCCACCTAAAATGTCTCTCCTCAACCCATACGTCTCGGCTGTCGCCGCCACATTAGATTATACATCCCTCGCTCAATACAATCAGCGAACTTCCGAAAGACTTTTCCGGCGGGCCTTCCATCTTCCACGGTTACCCATCGCACGTGCACCTAACAACTCGAGCCCATAGTGACGACCTCCTTTCACGAGTCCGCGTCGGTTCTTTGTACTTCGAAAGTAGCCCAAAAGAAAGTTTAAATCCTTGTAAAAGTGGCTGTACAAAGTTCTTATTATGTGACCGAGAGAAAAGGGTGCCATCAGAATTGCCACGCGCAAACTGCTGGGGTTTACCATGAATGTCCTATAAAGATCCAATCTACTACCCCTCGCGACGAGCATTGGATATTAGGCGACAAATTACCTTCATACCTGTAAATTTTTTACGTTTTTCCTTGACATCACAAAGAGCTGACTTGTAACTTTACGCGTAAAATGTTTAGTCTGTCAGACGCGAACGAATGTTCAGTCGCTCACCCATTTTTGTAAAAGGAGAAGTTTTAAAAGTGCAAGTTTGTTTGCAGATTTTTATTTTATTGCACTACTATCTTGTAGCTGAAGCTTCCCTGTATCTCTGGGAAAAAATGAGTCCAAAAATATTGATTTTCAACAAAAATATTGATTTTTATTGCAGTTCACAGTTGTCCGAGTCTGGCAAACCCAGATTGTGTACATTTTGATTTTATCGCGCTACTATCATATAGCTGAAATTTTTTACATCTCTGGATAAAAGTGAATCTAAAAATATTGATTTTCAACAAAGTTACATGGCAATTTTCAGTCGACTCGATCCAGATTGTATAGTATGTTTCAAAAAAATGTTTATACACGAAAGGTTAATATAAAGTAACAAACTTTTATAAAGTAAAAACTATTACTGGACAAAGACGACTAATTCAAAAATTCAGTTCTCCCATACATAGTATCGCGTAAAAATATGAATATATACGAGTATGTGTTTAGGTAAATAACGCCACTCAACCGAAAGCGGACTATTTGATAACACGCTCTTATAAAGCATGACACGTAGTACGAAAATGACTGGCCACGTCCCTTTTATAAATGATATAAAAACGAAGGAAAATGAGGCTCACTAAAGAGATGTCGTGCGAGTTTTCGAGACGCGAATTTTAAAGTCTCACTCCGACGCGCTCGCGCTTCTTTTTACCTCAACGACGCACCTGCGCGCTTACGCTCGCTCGTGTACCCTTTCTTTTTTTTCCGTCCCGACCGAGATACGCAGCTGCAATTGCAAGCTGCGACTGGCATGTAGCCATAGTACGCGGCAGGAGGGTCGAGGTGAAAATGGAAATGCTCCCCCACACGAGGCCGACGTAGACGCACAGAGGTGTGTCGTCGTCGCTGACGCCGCCGTCGCCACTGCCGTCGCCGATGACGACGACGACGACGACGACGACGGCGGCAGCAACGTCGACGAGGACGACGACGACGACGACGACGACGACGACGACGACGACGACGTCTTTTCAGGGTTGTAATGGGAAAAGCCGATACGCATCGCGATGCGCACTTAAGGCTGTTTATTCCCCGCGGCACTTATAATACCTCTATAACTGGAGATATTCCCGAGCGCTTTGCGCAAAGGAGACGCTCGCTCCGGTTGGAGGGAAAGAAAGGGCGACGCTGTTCAGAGGAAGGATCGGGAGGAGGAAGCCCTAAGAACGCGGTAAAACGCGCGTGGCCTGAAGTCCTCAGAACTGTCGTCAGCGACGTCGTCTCACCTTTGAATTTTCTTCCTTCCTTCCGCCTTCTCCTCATCCACCTACACCTCCCGGTGCGTCTTTTTCGTTCTCTCCTTCTTCTGAAGCATCCTGTCGCATTTTCCTTTCTTTCTCTGATGCGTCTGCACCGATAACCAGACGGCTAACGATTCTTTCACGCGTTAGCCGTTTCTGGCCGCCCCGGCTGTACCACCAAGCGAGAACAACGACGGCAGAATGTCGCCGTTCCGACGAAACTTTTATCTGAATATCGCTTTAATTTTTTGGAGCAATTTCGCGCGTTTCAACGTCGCCATCGCGTCTCTTATCTGCTTTATCGGGCCAACAATTTCCGCGTGTATTCTGCGGTACAGCCATCGTCTAAGAGCGCGGAAACTGTAGAAATGCGTGTTCCTTTGTGATGCCGATAATAGCATTGTCGGCATAATAGGGGAACGTGCGCTAAATGCATTCCCCATTGCCAAGCTTAGAATTGGAGTCTTTAATCGATTGAGCTATTTAGAGCGTTTTCTATCGGGGTTCGGGTATACGATTTAGCCGGAATCTCCTAGCTAGCCAGCTCTTTTGTAATCGTCACTGAACCGGAAAAGAGCAGACAATTCACACATTGTTCAGACGTAAAAACAAATGTCTTTCTACCTTCTCCACATCACTCTCGACTGATAAAATCCGCAAGCACAAATTCTCTTTTGTATCATAGTTTTTACAGGCAATGTATTTTACGGAGAACGTGTTGCGTTGTGTTACAGACATCTTTATATTCCGGTCGTAGAGATGGGTTACAGTAAGACTACAGCGTCGGTGACCGTCTTCTTTATCAGCGCTTTCTTTCACGAGTATCTTGTAAGCGTACCTTTAAAGACATTCAAGATATGGGCCTTTATGGGTATGATGGGACAGGTAAGAGCTTCACGCGTTTATTTCATATATATTGTTGATTATGCAGATATTAACCGCAAAACATCCTTATTGGATCTTTAAGAGGATACCAAACGGTAATCCGATAACGGACTTCAAAAATGTCGATAACGTAAATAATGTAAAAAGTTGAATCAGATAAACGATAACGCGATTATCTTTTTTGTACTTCGTGTATACATAGATTTTATACAAATGTGTGCTATTTCATTTCACCATATTCAGCAGAAAATCTAATTACGTATATATAGAAATCTTTCTGTAAATTTTATATTCTAAAACTTCTACATGCAGTTTTAAAAGTACAGCAATATTCTTTGAAATTTTCCTGTATATAGCAAGTACACGTTCAGTATATACAACTACGAGACTTTTATATCAGGCAAATGTTTACGCTAATTGACAAGTCAAGATGTCAATTTTGAAAATTGTTGTCGTTTTTGTCACATATTGAGCAAAGCTCCAATTCATTTTGACACACACTTTCATTGTGTAAAAATATTTGTAATTTTGTGTAACTAATAGGACGTAAATTTTAAAAAGACCAATATTTTTATCAGGCAAATTTTCAAGTATGGCGTCCCCTTGAGGACGCATTTGTCTTTAAACGCTTTCGGCATCACACTCAGAATCGTTAAAATCGTCATTTATAACAGACTAAAATTTCTCACAAAAGCTTGCTTAATGAAAGACAAGAATATAAGAAACATTACATTGAAGTACTTCATAATCTTTGATTAATATTCTTTATATGATTGCTACAGAGATTTCAGACATAATTTGTTAAATACTTTGTGTATGATGTATGACGTTGCACGTTACACTTTGCATGCACTTAGGAGATGTTCCGGCCGCTTATAAGTACGGAAATTTCGGTCGTGCAACGTTAATTGTTCATTACAGATACCACTGTCGGTGCTGAGCAAGACGGCCGAACATTACTTAGGCGCTAGATACGGTAACATCGTCGTATGGGCGAGTCTCATCATCGGGCAACCACTTTGTATAATGATGTATTACCACGATTACGTTGTAACCCATTTCGGTGAGTCTCTGATCGAGGACTACTCTGTGGTATAAGCGGTGGTAATGAGATGGAAAGGTGAAAGTTCAGGGAAACTTCCAAAGATAAACTTGCGATTTACTTCTTTTTTTTCAATTCTCTGCGTTATTGCGTTTGTTGATAATGGAATACATACAGCTTCCAGTTTGCGCTTTACGTGCAAAGTAATATACTTTAAATTCTAAAGTTGTCGTGCCATAGTTTCATCATCGTGATTCACACATTATGTGCGTGTGCCTTAAATATCACATCTCGTTGAATAGAATGTTGAACGCTGCTAGCACAATACAAATTGAAACACGATGAAACGAAACTCGAATTGACGGACACTATTCAAAAATATGATTACGTCTCACAGAAACTGTACACACATACATACATAAATACATACATACAATTGTACATACACATATACATATATATATGTATATATATATATACATATATATATATATATATATATATAT